ACGCCGTACTAGGGACGCCTACCTTGGGACAGTGACCCCAGGACGGTGACCTTAGTACGCCTACGTAGTGTGGCCCAGGGATGGTGGACTAGGGACGGTGACCCCGGGAAACCGAACCCGGTACGGGATGCAAACCCAGGGACAGCGACCTAAGGATGGCGACCCCGGGACGTTGACCCCGGGACATTGACCTAGGAACGTTGACCCCGGGATATTGACCTAGGAACGTTGACCCTGGGACGTTGACCCCGGGACGTTGACCCCGGGACATTGACCCCGGGACATTGACCTAGGAACATTGACCCTGGGACGTTGACCCCGGGACAGCGGACTAGGGACGGCGGACTAGGGACGGCGGACTAGGGATGCCAACCCAGGGACACCGACCTTAGGATGTTGACCCTGGGACGTTGACCCCGGGATGGCGGACTAGGGACGATGAACTAGGGATGCTAAACCCGGGACGCCGTCCTTGTGTGGCCCCGGCTCTTTATGAGGCGACCCGGGGACGCCGACCTCGAGATGGCGTACTAGGGACGATGACCCCAGGACGACGTCCCCAGGACGTTGACCCTTAGGACAGCGACCCCAGGATACCGACCTAGGAACGTTGACCCCGGGATACCGACCTAGGAACGTTGACCCCGGGATACCGACCTAGGAACGTTGACCCCGGGAAGGCGACCTCAAGATGGCAACCCGGGGTTGCCTACCTTGAGATGGCGGACTAGGGATGCTGAACCCAGGACGCTGACCCCTGGACGCCAACCCTAGGAACGGCGCCCCCTTGTGGCCCCAACTCTTTACGCCAACATATTTTTTTGCACATGTGGGAGCGGCCGAACTCCTGACCTCCAACAGTATTCCGGTGATGACCGAACCCAAAGCTTTACTCCGGGGACCTGGACCTCTGACAGCGTTCTGGATGATATTTCTGATTGACAGGAGCTGTGATGTCAGTATTTTGCCTTTTTCGGACGTCTTTATTCTGCGACCCCCCCCCCCCCTCTCATATTGGGAGCTGTGTGAAGAACTCACCGCGAGGTGCGCTCTGATTGGTTCCTGTACTTGGTTTTATCAAGTTCCCGGCTTTATCTTGAGGCCTGGAGTTCCCTCCAGGTTAAAGGAGACTTTGGAAAGCTTTGCCTTTTGGATTTATTCTTCAGTTGCACTTGTCTGTGGGACGTGAACCCAAAAGAGAAGAAAGTGGCTCCTCCCTCTTCTCTAAACAAGTTACGCCCTTTTTTTGTCGTCATTGTACCTGTTTCAATGTATTTTTGTAACACAGTTCAGGCCAGAAATGTATTCTTATATTTGAAAGGATTTCTAAGGTAATTGTTAATGTTAAAAAAAAAGAAAACAAAGTGCCAAAATGTGACTGTGATGCAGAAAACGGACCTCTGCCCCTCCTCGTTTCCAGAGTCAGACTTCTGTTCAGATTTTTTTTTAATGCTCCTCAGCTATTATGACAAGAAATCTGCCTTCACACTTTTCTCTTAGATTCGCCTTAAGTTCCTGTTCTCCGCTGCCAAAGATTCTTACTCGACATAAATAAATAAATTATTGTCGTTATTACCATGCGAGGCCTTCCTGTGCTTTTATTTTGACACCTGAGACTTCCTGTCCAAGTCCGTCCCCTGAGCTGAGATCCAGATCCATTTTATTAATTTAAAAGGAAAAGGACACGGAGCTCTGACAGCTGTGCATTTTCCCTCTGAAATAAGTCTGAAAAAAGCCATCCGTCACTACTGAATCCAGACCGTTTCTGTGGGTTACTCTTACCTTTTCTCTAGTCTCTATTCCTTTTTTAAATTGTTTATTTAATGTTTTTTTTTCTTTTTTAAAATCATTTTTCTTTCTTTATTCCTCTTTTCCTGTGCCCCCGTCAGGTCGTTTCCCCTTTTAAATAAGTCTGGAAAAAGACAACTTTAACTACTGAATCCAGACCGTTTCTTTGGGTTATTGTTACCTTTCCTCAATTCTCTTTTCCTTTTTTAAATTTTGTTTAATTTCATCTATTTTTCCTTTAAAAAAAATCTTTTTCTTTCTTTTTTCCTCTTTTCCTGTTCCCCCGGTCAGGTCGTTTTCCCTCTGAAATAAGTCTGGAAAAAGCCAACAGCCACTGCTGAATCCAGACCGTTTCTGATTGGATTCAGATGTGTAAGGACACAAACTTTAACACAAAGTCAACACAATCCTGAAACAGAGGATGTGTTGCTCACCCCAAACTGAAGCACCAGTTTTGAGGAATGACAGTGGAAACCCTGAATCGCAGCTAACACGTTCTTCTAATTAAAGAAAAAAGCCGTCCCACAGGTTTGATCTGGTAATAAATGTGATTTAGTGACAAACAATAGAAAATAACAACCGTTAGATCCACAAAAGAAGTCAAAGCTGGAGCGGTTCTCCTCCTCCTATAGGCCTAGCATTGGTTCTCCTCCTATAGGCCTAGCATTGGTTCTCCTCCTCCTATAGGCCTAGCATTGGTTCTCCTCCTCCTATAGGCCTTGCATTGGTCCTCCTCCTATAGGCCTAGCATTGGTTCTCCTCCTATAGGCCTAGCATTGGTTCTCCTCCTCCTATAGGCCCAGCATTGGTTCTCCTCCTCCTATAGGCCTAGCATTGGTTCTCCTCCAATAGGCCTAGCATTGGTTCTCCTCCTATAGGCCTAGCATTGGTTCTCCTCCTCCTATAGGCCTAGCATTGGTTCTCCTCCTCCTATAGGCCCACTATTGGTCCTCCTCCTGGGGCCCAGTGGTGCTCCTCCTACGTTGGACTGGTCCGGCCGCACCTGTCTTTAACACATAACGGCGTTTGACAGACACCAGACAGTTTCTGGAGCCTCCTGAAAAAGAGCCGGTGGGGGGGGCTGGGACAGGGCCCAATATCGTGTACTGGTTTAATTAAAACTCCTCATCTGAACCTTTTTCTGGCACCGAAGCCAATAAGCTCATTCAGCGTGCGACTATTGACGAGTTTAAGAAGAAAAGAGAACCGTTGCAATTAAGAATTCATTCAGAAATGAGCCAGTTATTCACCCCAGGAGCCGAGAATCCTTTTATTAGAAACGGGTCTGATTCATTCAGCGCCAGGACTGGCACGAATGTGACTGAATTAGACACAAAGACTAATTCCAGCCCAAAAATCACCTCCTCCTCAACACACACGAGGATCCGAACGAAGGAAAACGAGGAAATAATCGACTTCTGGTTACGTTTTATTGACTTATTCTCTTAAAACTCTTGGGAAAAGAAGACAATGCCTTTTAAAAACTAAACATTTGTCAATATAACAGTGGAAGAGAGTACAAGAACCGACAGACGCCCCCCAGCTGTGCCCCCCCCCCCCCCCCCCACAGAAATCCACCCGTTTGGCTCTAAAAGAGTCCGAATGAGGCCCAGAAACTGCTCCCAGAACTAGAAAGAGCTTCAAAAAGAGACCCGACTCACTTTTGCTGTTTGTTCTGTTCAAACATGATTTACAAAAGACAGATTTTACATTTTTTATCCAGGTGTTCACAGGACAAAGGGGGTCAGCAGAGGCCTCGTTTTAAAACCGAACCTGTGGACGTAAGACGTGAGAGGCAGATAAAAACAAACAAAACTTTGGTTTATGAATCGACAGAAACAAAAAAAAACACCTGAAAATCATCACATATCTTTAAAAAAAAAAGAGGAAAAAAATAAAAAGTACTTTTAGAAATACTGAAACTAACAGAGTCTAATGGTCAAACAACTATTCAGACAGTTTAACAGAAAAACAAACATTTATTTGGTTGTGGTATCAAACTTTGGTGGCTGATCAGGTCTGTTATGATGTTACCCCCCCCCCCACCTAAAAGAGTCAGAGTGGAGGAAACCGATTTATCCTCCAAACCGGCCAGAAGTGGGCAGAAATATCCCAAATGGAGACGGAGCACCGGAGCAAAAGTTTTGGGCCAGAAAACAGAAAAGATGGTCTCTGACACGGACAAAAGTTAAAGGCAGCTCTTAGAAAAAGACGAGGAAATTAGAGTAGAAATAACCCCCTCCAGAGTCTGGATACAGCCAAAATAAACCCAGTTACTAGTGTTAGACGAACCCCAAACTCATAGAATAACGAATCCAGGCCGGCCAGAGCTGGACTCCAACTTTTCTCCAGAAACGGGAGGTTTGTGGACAGTTGGGAGACCCTAAAATAACCCAATAAAGACAAAATAAAAAGACAAAAAAGGAGGGTCTCCGTCCACTACAGAGGGCAGAAGCTAAGGCTCCCCGGACTCCTTTTGTCTCCAGTCTCTAATCTAACGGTCTGCAGAGAAACGCACAAACAAACACACAAACAAACGCACAATCAAACGCACAAACAGGGTTACCTGAGCAAAACATTCAATGCAGGAAAGGCTAAATCAAATGCTCGTGATCGTGTTTATTCCCGGGGTTTTTTTCCGGGAACTGGGAGTGGACGCCAGCTTTTCCCGTTCCCCGAAGCCGTCCGTCCAAATCTCCGGCTACAAAACGACTCCAAATCCATAATTACCCGACAAAAAGAGGTGCTCTGCTTCTGTCGGGACTCCTTGGGGATTGTTCAGGTGTTGTAACGATCAGGTAAATGTTAAAAAAACCAGGCTTTGCAGAATCAGGATCTGAGTAAAGTAGCTAAAAAAATCCCCCGTTTAAGAGCAGAGTTCTTTCATAAAAGTGCTTCTTCTCATGCCTCAATATGAATCTGCCAACTCAAGTTAACAGATTTTAAAGACACACACACACACACACAACTACACACACACACACACACACACACACAGACACACACAACCTCCATGATTCCTCACACT